AAAGAAAATCACCTCTTATGAATAATATACAAAACTGCTGAAAACTAAAGATGAAAAAAAATTCTCAAAATCAGCCAGAGAAAAAGCATACACTGCATAGAGGGTATAACAACAAAAATCATGATTAACTTCTTATCAGAAACAATGGAGTTCAGAAGACAATGGAGTAACAACTGTAAAGAGCTAAAAGAAAAGTACAGTCAAGCCAGAATTTTATAAGCAACTAAAATGTCTTTCAAAAATGAAGACAAAACAAAGACATTTTCCACACAAACAGAAGATAGGAGATTATAATGCCAGAAGACTCACACCACAAGACATGCCAGAGGAAGAGCTTCAGGCCGAGGCAAAATGACACCAGACGGAAATTCACACGCACAGGAAGCAGCGGAGAATACAGAAAATGGTAAATATGTGGGTAAATATGAAATTTTTTCTTTTAACATTTAAAAGTGAACGGACTGTTTCAAGCAAAAGCAACAACGTGCTCTTAGGTTGCTTTCGGGTTCTCTGCGAAGCGGTCTTAACATCCATCCACGGTAGACGCTGATACACAAAGGGCGCATTCGGAAACCCTGCACAACCACCAGAAACCCAAGTACAAGGAGGGACAGCGATCATACCTCAACTTAGGGTTGGTCGTATCACCTTTTCTTTCTCTCCAAAGCCCCAGCCACCCAGGACACCCCTCTGTCCCTGTACTCTGGCCTGACACAGCTAGGCCCTGGGCCATGCGCCACCACTACTGCCCATCTGTCGTGATGCCCGGTGCCCGCTCGGCATTCTGGAGGGCACAAACACGTTCCCAGCCACACGGTGCTCAGCCCACTCCAGGTACTTAGTAAGTATTTGTTCAACGCATGAACCAAGGCAATGCTTTTAGCTCCAACCGAGGGTGCAGTTCCTCCTCCCTGCCCCCAAGGAGTCCCTGGCCACTCCAGCAGCACCCCCAGCCCTGCCCTCCATCCTGGCCGCAAAGCTCCCATTCTCCGTGCTGTACAGATGGCTTGGAGGGGTAAAGAGCAGAAAAGCCCGAGTGAGCAAACGCTGAGCCGCCCCTCCCTGGGACAAATCATCTGATGAGAAGGGGCTGGAGCCCCACGCAAAGGCCCACTGCGGCCTCTCTGGATTAAAAATCACTAGACTCCGAATTACCCAGGCAGTGGAAATCTCCTGGCTGCCCTGGAGGCCACATCCTCAAGCAGCAACAGAGGCCGCAGGAATTAGTACGTGGTTTTGATTCACCTCTGCTCCTCACAGAGGAGCTGCCTGGGAGGAGCAGCCCCGAGGTCCTCTCTGGAGTCAGAGCACAGTCAACCGCACAGCTGAGCCCCCAAAACCCAAACCGGGGAAGCTAAGGCGCTGCCACTGCGGCCCACAGCGGGATGACAACAAGATCACTGGTTTCTGTGTGCAAAATGGTGAGAGAGGTGGATGCTGCCTGACCTTCATTCTGAAAGAAGTCAGAGGGCAGTGAGTTCCAAACTGGGGTCATTCGAGGACCACCTTTGTGATGCTGGCCCCATCCATGCACCAAGTCAAGAAGTAAACCATCATCTATTTAATATTTTGTACTAAATTCACTTGCTTTTTTATTGAAATGGATTCATTTTGAAAGTACACTTCACTTCACTACCGACGATCGGCGGCCAGGACCAGGTGCCCACCTGCAGGATGAGAAATAAACACACGCCCAAATTAACCCCCATGTGTTCCCTCTGGTCAAGGGCCTCGCCAGGAAAGAGCCTCCTGGGAGGTGGCGGTGCCAGGTGTGAATCCTGACTCTGGCAGTTGCTAACTGTGTGACTTTGGGCAAGTCACTCAACCTCTCTGAGCCTCGGCTTGCTTTCTGTGGCACCAGATCACCGACACCCCACAAAGTGGTGAGATTTAAATATGACACCGGATATACACTGTCAAACGGAACAGGCCTGAGGGACTGACAGGCGGCACTCACCTCCCGTCTGGATGGGGGCAATCTCTCTGCAGACCAACCCAGCCTCCCCCGGTCCAGGGCCTCCCAAAAGTTCAGTCTCCCTGATGGGACCGAGCTATGGTAAAAAAATCCCATGTTGACAAGAGGGCAGCCAGGAGCTGGGAAACCCCCTGTTCATCCATTCTTAATGCACTTTCTTGTGAGCAGCCTCTCCCCCTAACGACAGAACCCACAAGAAAAACCAGAAATGAGCTGGATGAAGGTTAAGGAGTGCTCTTGGCCTCTGTGCTGGCTCTCCCCAACACGGGGTCTTCCTGCAGGGGCCGGGTTTGTTTGCTCTGTCTGTGGCAGCTGCGGCCCTGCATGGTGACCCTCGGTGGGCGGCCACCCCAGGAGCAGGGCCAAGAGGAAAGGCGCAGCACAGCCTTAGCTCCTCACCCCCTTTGAGGTGACAGGGAGGTCTTTCACAGGGAGAGGCAAGTGGGGGGTCACGTCTGAGGTGGGAGTGGACCCCTGCCAGCAGGAGACAGAGCAGTGTGGAGAGGCGGGCACATGGAAGATGTGCCACAGGACTTGAGGTCACTCCCCTCCCCATCCCCCAGGACCCTCTCCTCTGGGTCTCTCCTGCCCTCCTAGCACCAGACACTGACTCACACGTGGCCTCTAAACGTACCTGGCAGGCTGCTTCCCACCCGCCACCAGGAAAACGTCTGCACAGCCCTTAGGACACTCCATGATCACCTCCCACCTTGCCAACCCTGACCAGCCCCAGCTGGTGTCAGTCTGGTCACTACGGTAACCACTCCGTGCTCCCCGAAGAGCGCCTCCTCTGCGGCAGACGGGGTGAGCTGGGCTCTGGGAAGGGGCAAGGGCTGCCCGGGCGGTACAACTACGAGCCCACAGGGCTCTCTGGGTTTTTGGAGGAAATGCAACTTCAGGCCAGGCTGCCTGGGCACAAAGGCTGTCTTTCGTGAGCCCTGCTGCCCGCTAGGCAGGGGCTGGACTGCTGCGTGCCTGGCTTAGTTCACCTCACAACCACCTATGAGGTTCCCATGAGGTCCCACTTTCCACACAACACGCCCAGGCTCAGAGCTGTCACCTGGCGAGTCCTCGGGGCAGGCCAGAGCCACACTGCCGTGGTCAGCGATCATCTGGCCGTGTACCACAGACACGTGGTGCGCTGCTACGAGGCTACAGGGTGTGTGATGCCTGATGTTACCCTGACATCTGGGCAGGGGGCACAGTGGTGCTGGGGGCCAGTGAGAAACGGTGCCTGGAACCCAGAGGGGGGATCCAGCAACACGGCCCACCGAGGTCGTCTCTGCAACACTGGTTGGCGTAGAGGCGAGTCTCCTCTCAGCACAGCTCTCAGCCTGGCAGGACCCCACCAGGAAGGGAAAGACCATGGCCACTGGCTAGGGCAGGTGTCTCCCAGGGGCACCTGGGAGAGCTGAGGTCATCCAACACCCCCTGCTGACCCCAACTAGGACGAATCCTTGGGGCTCTTCATGGCAAACTGCCCGTCCCAAGACTCAGGGGGCAGCTCATTTCCCAAGGGCCACCCCATGCCCCAGGACAGGCAGCTCTGGAGCTCTGGGTTCTGAGTCCAGGAGCATGGACCACAGACCCAAGCCTCTGTGGCTGCCACAGCCCGTCTCCCTCACAGTGGAAAACGAAAGCAGGTGCTAGTGGGCTCAGGCCAGGCCAAGTGCCTGGAGTAACCCTGGGTCTGGCTGGGCTGCACATCCTTGCACATGCGCAGGCCCAGGGCAGCCTCGGGGCTCACACCTCACCCCTTAGGAGACACTCCCCTTCCAAGAAGAGGGAGAGGGAGGCTTCGAGGGCTGCTCTCAGGGCAGGGAGGCCAGAGGGCTTGTCTTGAAAGGATCATCCCAGATGTGCTAGGCACCAAGTAACATGAAACCTCGGCCCACTGGCTTCACCAGTGAAGACACTTCTCTGTGAATGACAGAGGTCAGAGGTGGGGAGGCGCAGCTCCAGCGCTGGCTAACCCAGCGACTCGGAGACATCATGGGAACCTGGGCTCCTTCCATCTTGCTGCTCTGCCACTCTCATGCCTTCCTACACCAGGCATCCCCTGCAACGGCAGCAGCCAGGGCAGAAGGGAGGCTCCGCAGCAAGGAGATTGTCCCCAGGAGCCCCAGCAGTCCCCTCGCGCCTCACTGGTCAGAACAGCTTCATCTGCACACAAGCCAACTGTGGCCAGAGTGGCATCTCTATGGCCACCCAGACCAACCAGGACTTCCTCCCAGGGGCCTCATGCAAGGGAGAGGCTGGGCGAGTGGGAAACACATCTATCACAGGGGGTTTGGGAGGGAGGCACAGACCCTGCGCTCCCACCCAGACGCTGGCCAGGCGCCTCCTGGCCCATCCCTGGCCTGGGGTCTGGGGCCCCCGGGAGGGCTGCACTGAGCTGAGGCGCCTCCCAGAGCAAGGGATGAGGTTGTTCTCACTACTCATGAGTGAACCAAGAAGCCCCACACCATGTGATACTACACAGGAAAGGTCGCCTGGATGCAGCCCACGGAAAACCACAGGCAAAACTGTCTATCGAGGCAATGTTCTGGGTAAAAGTGTAAAAATAATTTTAAATAGAAATACATTAGGATTTTTTTTTTCTGGAATCAAAAGAACTAACAATGCTTGCGGGGAGATCCGGAGAAGGCAGGAGAAAGGGAGGTCAGCACCCAGAGCAGCGGAACTCCGCTCAGCCAGCTGCTGGCAGGAACGGCTCACCACTCGGGGTCCCCTGCTCTTCTCACACCCCGACGCAACGAGTCAGACAAGCCAGATGGTGCCCAAAAGGCCTGGCTCAAGCACTTCCCACGTGTTCTGGACTCCAAGACACTGTGAGAACTTTCAGACTCACTTTCTAGGAGTGACAAGGAGTGACTCTAGCTTCCCATGAACATGTCACGTGACTACGTTACCACGGAGATCAGAGGACTATAGGACCGTCCAACTGTGACCACCACCAGCACAGCAGCCGCAGGGCTCAAAGGAGCCGGGACATCTCTCTTGACGTGGCCTCCCTGCACCAGGGCAGGCCTCCACTTGTAGGACAGAGCAGCTCACAAAACCCGCTCTTTCTTCCTGGTAGCCGGGGACGGCCGCAGCTCCCCAGGCCCGTGGGCAAACGGGCAGCAGTGTGAAGGCAGAACACAACCATCAGGGTGATGAGTGAAAAACCAACAGATGCGGGTTTTGAAAGCTTCAGGAACCAGTCTCCGTTTTGCTTCTGGTTGCCTTTTCTTCTGTAGCCTCTCTTCTCTCCAGTCGCGAATGTGAACTCTCCCATCCAGAACTGTGGTTTGGAACAGAGAAAAGACACAGCCAAGAAGTTAACCTGCAAGTTCATTAACTCACCAGGATCTGGGGGAGGCAGCTGTCCAGGGCTGGGGATGCAGCGACACAAGACCAGAGTCCCCACGGCAAGCTGGCGCCCAGAGGGAAGGAGATGAGGTGCTGAGACCTCAAGCAGTGGCCGGTGGCCACCACCCGCCCCGAGGCTGGCAGTCCCCACCTAAAGGGTGAAGTGACAGAGGCACAGGGCTGGGCGGGCAGGGGAGCAGGCGTCCTGGGGTGAGGGAGTGTGGAGGGGCCAGCACCAGCTGGGCTGGGAGCCGTCAGGAGAAGTGGGCTGGACACTAGGAGAGGGGTGAAGAGCCCAGTGTCTGTGGCCGAGGGTCTGGGGATGACAAGGTCCAGGGAGGGGCCATAGGACACAGTGGCTGGGACAGCCTGGGGGACGGGCTTGTAGGAAACAAAGCTGAGGTCCTGGAGACCAGAGCGTAAGAACGTAAACGTGGTCCCTGATGCGGGACGTGTCGGAGCCTGTGCTCTGCATCACAGGGAGAGAACAGAGCGAGGCACCAGAGGTCATTTCCAGGCAGGAAAAGATGAGGGGCTGCTGGCTTTAGGCACCCCCCACAACCAGGGCCCCCCAAATGTAAACAGGGGTGGGGGCTCAAGGATTCACAGCCACCCGCCTGGAGCAGAGGGAGGCTGAGAGATGCAGTGGGAGGGATAGGGGTGGCCGGAGTGACCTCAGAGCTGGGTAGCTGGAGGACCCCAGAGCAGCAGAGGAGTGCGCAGTGTTCCCATCAGCGGACTGGGCCCCCCACCCAGCTGCCTCCTGAGCCGGTCGCCCCTACTCAGCTGAGACCCCCTGCCCCCGCTCCCAGAGCTTCCACTTGGCCGTTCCGTCCCAAGGAGCCAACTCCATGTGAAACGCGGCCAAAGCAACCAAATCCATCCTGGCTTTCCCGGGAAGCCGTGAAACCACCTGGAGACAGAGAGGCTCGAGAAGACATGCAGGAAGCTTACTGAATAAACCTGGCTCTCCGACTTCTAAGGAGAACTTGAAAGGGTGAATTAAAGCTTGAATTCCGCTTTCAAATTGCCTTGTGTTATGGCAGTTAACAAGACTGTTTGTCTTCGCAGGCCGACATTAAATACTTTCCCTTGAAACTGGAGAAAAGGGCTGCAGAGGCGCCTCACAGCACGGAGGGACACAAAGGCAGGATTCATCCTCACGAGGCAGACGAGAAGCACCTACTAACGGCCAGGCCCGGTTCTGTCCCTTCCACGGAGCCAGCCTCCTGCACTGCCCCCCCAAACATGATGATACTCAGCTTTCTTAGCCCGAAAGCCCGGGTCAGGGAAACTTCGCTGTGTTCCACAGGATAGTCCCACAGCAGCACCTCCTGGAGCCGCACAGGACGACACGGCCCAGCCAGTGGGGTGGGGAGCTAGACTGGGGGTATGTGTAGAAGGGGCCTCGGAGCAAGACTCCCACCAGACTCCTGGAGTGTGCTCCCCAGAAAGGTGAGGAGCCCTGGCCCGGAGGAAGTCCTGGACGGTTCAAGGGAAATCTCGGGGACAGGGGAGGGGGCTCGCCGGGCCTAACCTGGGCATGGACCCCCGCCCTCCAGAGAGGCCAGGCCAGGTCCCCTCCCTCAGGACAGCCTGGCTTGCAGCAGGCCCTTCAGGGCAGTTTTGTAAAATATGACATCTAGCCACATTCTGCAGCAATACCACAAGGTTGAGGAGGGCCGCCAGGATCTCTAAGGCCTGGGGAGTGGGTGCTAACGACAGAGGGGCGACCCTGGATATGGCAGAGGCCGGGGCGCCCTGAGGCTGGCCAGGACGGCCGACATGCGCCCCTCCCCCTCAGGACACAGGGCAGATCTCTCCCATCCCCCTCCTCACACCCCTGGCTCCCATTCTAGGCAGGCCTGTGCCAGGCACACGAGGGCATCAGCCTCCAGGGGCGCACACTCCAGCCCCAGCGTGCAAGACGCTCCTCGTGTAGAAATATGTCCTGATTTTACAACAGAATTATAGAAACAACATACGCTCTCCCAAAGTTCACCTCTCACCCGACGTTTCTGAACAAGGTTCCTCCTGCACGTGAGCGCTCCCTCGGACCTGATGAACACAGCACACGAAACCTCCTGTTGCATCTCCTCCTGCTTCTGACAGCAGATGTCACCTTAACCAAGGTGTTCTGAGGAACTGGTTGAAGATTCTTCCAGAAAATCACTATGGACAATTTACCAGAATGGTGCTGTACACCCAGGAGCGCTTGTTCTGGTCAGATGCAGCCTGGGTTGCCAGCCCAGCCCCTCCACCCGATGGAGACCTTGGGCAAGTCACCGACCTCTCTGAGCTGCATCCGAACCATCAAGGCCATGAATGCAGGCATCAGAGAGACCACACTCACAGACCACTCAGCACAGTGCGGGCACCCACGCACCCCACTGGCCAAAACCTCCTGACCGTGTGCACATGCCAGGCCGTGCAGACCCTGGGGCGGGGTAGGCCACGAGAGCGGGTGCCGTGCTCACGGCCTCTGTGTGGCAGCCCCGGCGATGCCCAGCACACAAGGCGCTCAGCGCTGGCTGAACTGCAAGCATCCGAAATCACCTTTACTTCCTCACTCTCGCAAACATTACTAGAGACTGGCTACGGTAGTGTAAAAACCCCTCACACAAAGAAAGACCCAGCTTCAGTGCATAGTTTTTGCATGACTGGAAGCAGAATGTTTACTTGGAGCTCAACCCACAAGCCTCCTACTCCGAAGTGTTTCCAAGAATCAATGTGCCCTCTGACAGAAAAGCAATCACACACATGCATATTTATAACGGGAAAAAAGATACTATTTCATGAAGTCACACCAAAAAACGTGCTGGGAAAAACAGAAAGAAGAGCAGCCCCTGGGCTGCAGTCAGGATTGTAACCGACAAAGCTTCGTGAGACGGAGAGGGACTGCAGGCAGCCCGCGCCAGAGCCGAGCTGCAGCGGGACCTTTCAGTTCAGGAAGGCCGCCCTCCTCCACTTCTCCACTCACCCGGGCCTCCGCTTCCGCAACCACCCCCAAATACGGAGGCTCCAGCGCTGCTTACGGGCTTACTGCCACCATAACAGCAGCGTTTACCCAAATGAACTCAAGTTTAAATGAAAGCCAAGTGCAGCTACACAAGGGCAACAAGGCCACCCAGAGGCACCGCAGGCGTGAACGCCCGAGCCCTGGCGCGCACGCGTGGGGGAGGCGGCGCGCACCCGGGCCCTCGTGTGCACGCGTGGGGGAGGTAGTGCAGGCACGCATACGTGGAGGCAGGCAAGAGAAGGTGGCAGCTCTCAACACCCTTAGGAGGTTTACAAGCTGAGGGAGTGGACAGACGTGCCTCCTCCAGCTGCATGGCCCTGTGGAAGCCTCCTTCCCTACCACCTGCCCTGCTGACTCACTGCCTGACCACCCTACTCGGCAGCAGCACACTGATGAGGGTGGGGGGACTGGCTCAAATCCTGGGGTCCAGATAGCTGCCCATGTTCCTAGACAAGGCCTTCGGGCCCAGTGTGTGCCCACGCCCCCCTGTGTTGGGCCTGGCACGTGCGTGCATTCCTCCTGTGGGGCCTGGCAGGTGCCAGTATCCTCGGGTTGGACTTCAATTCTGTGCTTCCATGAAGGCTTCCCTCACCACTAGAAAGGCCCCCAGCCCAGCAGGGCCAGTTACCTCCTGCCCCACACAGACCCCATCAAGGCACCTGTCCTGCTGTGCTGGACTCATGGCTTGGTGTGCCCATTTCCCCTGCCAGGTCCTGAGGCAGGGAGAGAGAGGCCGTCATCTATGTGCAGCCTCCAGCAGAGAGCACACATGTGGAGAGCCGTGCCCACAGATGGCACCTCGTGGGTCGGGGACCCTGGGACCCAACAGTCTTCCCCCCTGTGAAGAGGGGTCAGGTAACTGTGCCCTCCCCACTGGGCCACTCATTTCTTCATCCTGTGACACATGCTAGCACCAAAGCAGTGGGCTCTGGGATGGTCTCTGGCTGCAGAGCCAGACCCGACCCCACCCCAAGGAGCTCACTGTCTAGTTGGGGCAGTGACGTGACTGGTGCAGGTCATGTGACAGACGCATGTGCAGAGATTGGGGGCCCAGAGAAGGCAGAACTGGGGAGGGGAGTGGACGGGAAGCTGTTTAGGAAAGGTTTCTTGGAGGAGACAGCCCCTGAGCGACATCATCAGAGAGACCAGGGCACTGAGGTGGAGGCAGGAGCAAGCAGGAAGCCTTGGGGGACACGGTGTAGGCCCCACAGAACACAAGCCAGCGGGCCATGCAGGATGAACTGAGGGGTTAAGTCTGGCAGAAGTGGGTGCGCTGGGCTGGGGTGGGTGGAAGGAAGGCAGGTAGCATATGCAGGGCCCCTGAGCCAGGACAGCACGCATTCCACCCTCGCAGAAGCCCACAGTCTCAGTGGATCAAGGGTGGGCCACGGGGCCTGCTGGCAGCCCCTGCTAGCCTGGTCTTCTCTGGAGCCATGTCCTCAGCACATCGTCACACACCATCCTGCTCATCTACCATCTGCCCTCCCAGCACCACCCCCCAGCCCCCTGCCTCCAGGAAAGAAGAGCTGGTTGAAGTACACAGCTCTAGCCCACACCCAGCCTTCACGGGACATTTCACAGCAGAAACAGCATCAAAATTGCTTCCACTTCTTAAGTACCACGGGAGCCAGACGCCGTGCTGTGGGGGACTTGAACACGGCACTTGACCCTCATGGACCCAACATGGGAGAGAACAGGCAGCCTGGTGACTTACGGGTTCAGCAGGTCACACGGATGGTGACAGTGCAGCCAGACTGGAAGCCAGTTTTGCTCCTCCCTACGGTCACATTGACGTCATCACTCCCCTGCTGGTCAGAGCCCCGAATCCTCCTCACAGCCGCGCCCACCTCCACCTCCTGCTCATCAAGCCTCCACTCCTGCTCCTTCCCAACTCAGACCCTTTACACCCCCTGTTCTCTCTGCCTGACATGCTTTTCCTTGTCCTCTTCACCTAGCTAACTCCTACTGTTTTCAAATCCCAAGCCCAATACCATTTCCTAAGTGAAGCCTTCCTGAGTCCTCTCCAGCACTAGGCTAGTCTCCCTGCACGCCACGACTCCAGGGACACATGTGCCTGTGACGCTATTGTGCCGCAGGAAGACACCCGCTAGTTTTAAAGATGCACACCAAAGTGCGCAGGGGTGAAACAGCACGCTAGCTGGGATGTGCTTTCAAATACTTCCATAAAAAAAGGTGGAAAAGCTTCAAGAAGCAAATATGACGAATTATTGACCATCTGGACTACGGGTAGACAGGAGCTCCTTTGTGCGTGCTTGAAAATGTCAACTAACGGAACTTCTTTTAAACCTCAGGTGCCCGTATAAACCTCTGTGACACTTCCCCCTCCCGGTCACTGTAGACTCCAGGGGGGCAGGGACAGCGCTGCCTCGCTCTGCAGACTGAGTGAGAGCACACGCAGGCGCCTGGGCCCTTCCACCCCCGCAGTCCTGGAATCAGAGCACCAGTGCAGGAGGGCAGTGTGCGCCTAAGTGCAGACTCACGGAGGCCCAGTGCAGGCACACAGGGTGGGGGAGCCGGCAGGAATCTGGGGCTCCCTCCTCTAAACTGCCCAGGGCCTGGCTGCGAGCTCAGGATGCTCCTAGTTTGCAGGCAGCCAAAGCAAAGCAAATGAGGAACCCCCACCCAGGAAAGCTCTCCAGGCAACAGGAGGCACCCAGCCGGTAGCTTTCGGACTCGCTCTTCCTTCTGTGTGAGGAGCGAGCACATCACAGAAGGGTGACACCAGGCCTGGGGGCACCGAGCCAGAGGAGATGTCGGAGAGAATCAAAGGGCAAGTGTGCCCAATGTCCTATCCTGAGGTGAGAGGCTCACAAGCGCAAACTGGGTGGGGGACAGACGGGAACTCTGGTCTCTCTTCCCAACTCTTCTCTAAGTCTAAAACTACTCTAAAAGAGTTTATTAGTAAAAAAAAAAAAAAAAAAAAATGCGGCAGGGGGAGAGTGATACCAAGATGTGTAGCAAAGACAATGCTCACTGACTCAGGGAAGGTAGAGCTGGCATCACACGCGGTGAGAAACACGCACACTGCAAGGCTCACCCCCTTACCTTCAAACACCTGATGGTTGTTTTTAAGCAACGTCTGCAAGCCTCCACATTCTCGCTTCAGTCTCCGCAGAGTCTCCCTGTCCAGCTCACCGGCTACTTCAGCCAAGGAAAGGCTCTCTGTTGAAAATGGGGTTTTCCCCCCAAAACAACAAAAAGGCTATTACGAACCTGTTAAACTCTAGTTCTATAAATTCAAATCCCTTACGTGCGTCGGCAGGAAAGATCCCGAATATTTAAGGTAAATGTCATTTAATCCAGTCTGCAGCTCCAAAAGCCGGAACTGCGCAGGCAGAGCTGTCACCACCTGAGATTCACCACCACCAACTCCACCCGCCGGGCCCTGCACTGCGGGTCCCACTCACGCCGCCCAGCCAGCCTGCAGGTGAGCGAGGCTGACCACGCCCCCGGCCACGCAGAGTCAGCGTGCCCAGCCCTGGAGACCCAGTCAGGCAGCTGCTCCTGCAGCGATGCTGCAATTCCATCTACCAAGGCCCAGACCACCTCAAGGTCCACCTCTCCGCTGCCTCTAACTCGTTCCGAGAGGAAGCAGGAAGACTAAGGAAAAAGTTAAGTATTGGCCCAGAAAGCCTTCCCTGTCCCTGCCCAGGTTCCGGCCCCCATGACTCCTTGACGCTGACTCACACACCAGCCTGGCCGCCGCCTCTTAGCTGCTCATCCCTTGATATGTGAGTGTCCTGACCCCACGGCAAGGGAGGGACTACCTCCTCTCACCTTGTGTCCCCCAGCCATGCCTCTCAGAGGGTAGACGCCCAGGCCTGAGATTAGTCAGGTCATGAGGACAGACCCACTCACGCATCATGTAGGGCTCAGAAACACGGAGGGTCCTGTGCCTAGGGGCAGGCTGGGGAGGGAATCACTAACTCCAGTGACCGAGGGAGCAGACCACCTGTGGGTGGAACCTCTGGCTGAGAGGCCAAGAACACACCTCCACCTCACTGGAGCACACTTCTCACACGCAGTGGGGCAGCTGGAGAGCCTCAGACAGGCCCCAGACGGAGGGAGACCAACCTGGAGAGGACAGCACCCCGGCTCCCAGACGTCTCCACCAATGGTTGGGCAGGCCTGAGACCCGATAATCAGAGCCACCCCACTATCTCCCTCTGAGCCTAGGAAAAGATCCAGCCTTTGCTCACTAACAGGTTATTCCAGCCCAGGCAGACTAGCAACCCCTGCACTCAATCATCCCCCAAGGCCCCGGTAGCAGAAAGGGCTGTCCTGGGAATTAAAAGTCAAACTCCACATTTTTAGATTCACCCGAATGTCTCTGAGACTCTGTGCCCTTCGAGAACCCACTAGGAGCCCCCACCGAGCTTTCCTTCCTCTCCACTCTGGCCTTGCCTTAACAGGGCACACCTAGGAAATGGGGTGCCAGCCCACAGCACACCCCCTGGGCCTTGGGGATGGTCCACAGTTACACGGATGGTCAGCCACCTGAACCAGGGCCATGGTGGCCAGGGCTGCCACCAGGTCCCTAGAGAGGCTCTCCAGATCAGACCCTAACAGGCTGGGGTTTTTCCTGGAGATGGGAGACACGCTTAACGGCGCTGCCACATCTCAGGCACACGAGAGACGGAAGGGGTGTAAAAAGATGACGACAGTAACTAGAGCATGACAGCTTCATGGAGGAGGAAGACCAGGCTCGGAGAGGTGGACCCATCACTGCCTCCTCCCTGGCCCCTCCCACCCACAGGGCCAGTCAGGCCACAGTCCCTGACAGGCCGAGGGAGGGGTCCTTAACTTCCTCCAATGATCCAAAACCTCAGAGAGGCAAGTCCCCGGCTCTGCCCAAACGCAGACAGCTCCCAGTGCCCTCTGGCCGCTGACCGACGTGGGCGCTGACGAGAAGCAGAGGCAGGAAAGAAACAAGTTCTTCATCCAGTAGCCCCAGGAGCTTTCCACACTCATAATAACCCATAAAAATAGTAAAACTCATGCTTTGATGCCTAGCTCTCTTGAGTGCCACTAATTTCAACACATTACTCGTCCTATGAGAACAATCAGATACAAATGTCTCCCTTTTATCTTGTCTGATTTTTGCATTTTGGAGATTTCGAAGAAAATGAAATTATCAAATCACGACATCTCTAAAATCTTACCATATATTTAAGGCAACAGTGCACTTTTCTGGCATTCAGTAACCTGCTTTCTGTTTAGATAATTTCTATAGACTGAAATGAGTAGCTCTAGACCCTGAAGCCTGACTGCTTCTGGAAAAGTTAAAGGCCCAAACGTTACCACTCTGACCTCAGTTTTCTCCTCTGAGGAAACAAAGTCCAGTATGTTAATAGGAACTGTAAAGAAAATTTTAAAGAATGAGCTTATAAGTAGCCATTTATTACCACGGTTTCTTTAGAACATATTTAATTAACAACGACCACGCCATTTTAAATTGCTCATAAAGGAGAACTGAGTCACTGCCCGAAACCCAGCAAGTACTCAGCACCCCTGGGATGGTGGATAGTTACCTCCTCGATTCCAGGTCTTCAGACTGCCACCTGGAGAACTTCCTGTGGTTAACTGCTTCCCACCTAATAACAAATCTGCCACTTGCAAAACCACTTGGTCAATAAAGTCTCGAGGGAGGGCAGCACAGTTCCTTACGCGTTGAGCTTTTTCTCTGGGGTGAAATCCAGGCAGCCAGAGTCCTGCGGCCTGGGCCTGGGGCCTGTGCCCAGCCTCAGCGTCCAAGGCTCTGTGACCACCAGGGTGATGGGCACCGCCGGCAGCACCCCTGGGGGGACCAGGGGCAGGCTCCTCACCAGGTGGGCCCACGGGGCAGCCCCGCCTGCTGCTGATGTACTGGGTTCTCTGCTCATCGAGGGACACTTCTCCGGAGGGCGGGTATGTTCTAGACTTCCCAATGAGACAAACCTGCATTTGCGGAGAGCAGAGGAAGTATTTTAGCAGGCTCCTGCAGTATATCTCAATGTTCTCCACAGAATTCTCTTGTTCTTGAGTACAAATTACATATAAGTTTTGATATTTGTTATGAAGAAAATCCTTATTTTAAAAACTAATACCGACATCAATGACTTAAAAATAAACAACTAACAGCAAAAGCCAGGGAAAAATCCCACCACTCAGATTTCCAGAGCTCTAACAAACGTACAAATCAGAGGCCACCTTTACCGGACTCCCAGCGTGCCCCATAATCGTGTCAGCCCTCCTGCAACCCCGCCTCTGTCCCACGCACAGACCCTGATGGGAACCCAACGAGCTCTGAGATGAGACTTGAAAAGAATGAGGCGTCTTTCCATTAACCTCGCCAGAGGGCGGGCAGGCATGTGCGGACCAGCAAAGCACTTGGCAGAGCACAGATGCTCAGTTCACACCATCCCCTTCCTTCGTCTTACACCCAGACAAAGGCCCCCTTCCAGAGCCCCCGGGAGAGCCAGGCCCAGGCCACCAATGCTGCTGTGAGCACAGCATCTCAGAACTTCCTCCTTGGGCATTAACTACAGAGCCAGGTAAGAGGCGAGGAAAGAAAGCAAATCTACTTACACCAGAGCCACCCCTTATGACTCTCCAGCTCTGCCACCTGCTAAATGTGTGACCCTGGGCAGGGGACTTGACTTCTCTATACAGGGACCAAGAGGGCCTGGCATGTGATCAGTCCTCATTAAACATCCACTACGTGTGGACATCCCTTTGCATCTGACCCCCAAACCACTCAGTTATAAGAAAGCTGGGGCTCAGAGAAATTAAGCAATAGTCCATGGCTCCAACAGCTAGTGATGGAATGACAAATCAAAGAAATAAAAACTGCAGGGCCCACGTGCCCACCTACATGACCTGAACTCTAGCAGTTTCCGAAAATCAATTCCAACCTCAGAAAACTATGACTTGCCAAAATAGAGGGCATTTAAGAGCATGACATGAAGGCTCTGAAGATGAGTCCTAAAGGACATTTTCAACATGATTTTGAGCAGTGTCAGTACTGACAGCAATGATGTCCCTGAAGCCCACCGTGGGGCCCAGTCACTGTCAGTACGTGAGCGCCTGGGGCAAAGACACTGTGTTGTCTGGTCCTCAACGCAAGCCACGGAGAGCTGCTTCTCCCCACCTGACCGACGGGGACATGGGCTGGGGCATCTGTGATCTGCCCGCGAGTGCACTGCTGGAAGGTAGCAGAGCCGAGAGTGGAGCCCAAATCTGTCTTGGATCCTTTTCACCACATGAAGCAATCAAGCTCTGTGACTGCTAGAAGATATGAAGGATTCTTGTGTTTTGTTTTTTCAAAAAAAGCACAATCACAGCCATAGTCTTGTAAAAGAAAGTTATCAGAGATTAATACAAATTGATGTCAATACCGCCTCCTTTCAAAGCGTCAAGCCCTTGGAGCAGTGACCACCCGGCAGGGTCACAGAGAGGGGGCTGCTGTTTTCACAGACGGTGCAAGGACCAATTTCTGCCTGGACAAATTGCATTTCAGGTAAATCTGACTTAGCCTTTTAATAAGAAAATCTGAAATCATTTTGAACTTCTGAAACAACTTTTAATTTCAGCCAATTATTTGGGAATCCGAGTAGTCGAACTTAGAGCGTTGCAGCTCAGACAACACTAGGCAGAAACGTCTACACAAGTTAAGCTGACGCCTACTCTGGGAAGGTCCCCTAGGGCCACTCATGGTTTCTGGAAAGAAAACGAAGACCTGGTGAGGGTTCTTGCAGAGCTGCTACAGGCCTGGAGAAGGAAGTGCCAAAACGTCTCCAAAGGAGGGGGCTGTATGGACAGAACAAGCCCTCTGAACCCCATCAACGACTGAGACGTTGGAACTGGCACAGACACCTTCTGGAACAGTCACACTTTCAAACACCACACCGTTGTTTTTGGCTCTGTGACACGGCCCTAAGCTTTCCATCTAAAGCCAACACGTCGCCGAGATCACCCCAGGTGGCCAGGACGTACTCTCTTGGTGGAAGGAATTCTCAGGCAGTCCTCCTGCACGTGAAATCCGCAGGCCGAGCCCACCTCTCTAATGAAGTCCAGGTATGCCCGGTACTGGGTCTTCTCACTCTGCCTCCGCTGGTGCTTTCCAACAAAGTCGAAGAAGCAGCAGGGAAGGACGAAGAAGCAGCAGCTGCAGGAGGACCTGCAGAATAACCAGCACAGAGAGCAAGTCCCGAACAGACTCACGAAAGCAAACTCAGCAGACAGCCACACGGCAATAGTGCACCAGGGTGAAACACAAACATTAGCTGCTGGCTAACTTCGTTGTTTACACAAAAAAGGAATTACAGCCTTCCCCAATTTAATTTCTAGACACAACTCAGCACAGTACATCTTTCCAATAAAATAGGGATCTAATGACTTTTCTAAAAAATATTCTTCCATTGCAGTTATTCTTGTCAACTGGAATCTAACACTTTCTGAAGTGCTTTGAGATTTCAGCTGTGAATGAGAAATTTCAGAGGCAGGCACAACCAAGATTAAGTTAAAATTTGCACCTTGACCTGTGTTATTCCTTGAGAGCTAAAATAGCTCAAAAGAACCCTGGGTGAAGGAGACGTGGCGACAGCAAGATAACTGGCATCCTGATGACGTCTCCTTCCGATTCAGAGGCATAAGCCATCTCCGACAGATGCACAGAGTGCCTACTTTGAAGAGACAGATATTGCTGTAAAGCGTCTTTATATTGACAGATTTTCCCTTTGAAGACAAACCCTCCTGTTACTAGAAAAAAACTTCCAAAGAATGGCACATCTTTCAACACCGGATAAAAATATCGTAGAAGTAATCACAGTTTCGATCAGCACTGTCCAACGGAAACAATGTGAAACATAAACGTAATTTTATACTTTCCAGTAGCCATATTTTAAACAGTAAAATAAAACAGGTGGAATTTACTTTAAATTTAACCCAACATACTCAATATTTCATCATTTCAACACTTTGAAGCAGCTACATTTGAAGTGCTCAACAGCCATACGCAGCTAGTGGCTCCTGTGCTAGAGAGCGAGACTTAGGCAACAAGATTCCCAGCCATTCACCACGCCACATCTCTACTTACTCACCTGGCTGCCATGACAGGTATCCATGGTGTTAGTTCATCGGAATGGTTACCAATTAACCAATCAACGTCAGGGAAAAGGGTCTTATCATTTGGTGTGATCGCACCTTCCTAAAAGAAAAACACAAAACAGGGCTAAATGTTTAGTAAATAAATGCAGACTCATCAGGTAGCAAGACACAGTGGGAGGGTAGAGGCCCTGCGGAAGCACAGCTGCTGTGGGCCTGATCTTAGCCCCTCTGGGCCTCCTGTGTAAAAGGTGAAACCAGGAGAGAGGAAAGGAACGTCCCTGGCCCTGCATCTGCCCAGAGCACACGGAGTACTAGCAACTCTTGGCGTCAAGACTGGAGAAACTAATGACACTTTTCTGAGTGCTGATGTCCTTTCGATAATTAAAAATGTGTTTCTTTACAAAAACATAAAAAGGAGCTACAGTAGAGATGGGCCATAGGAACTGCTTCATCTTTGGCAGAATATGGAGGAAGAAATGGCCTTAAGAGTGGGTAAGTGGAGAGCAGCTGGGTCCGAAGTTGATTTAAGTGTATAACACAACGCACTCACACAACCTGGAGAGTCTACGCTTCATTCCGCGTAATGAAGCATCTACAAAAGGATAAAAGATGGGAAGAATTTACATATATAAGTATGCATTAATTCTTTGATAATATGCCATTATCTTTTGTAAACTCTCAGACAGCAAGTAAAAACCGCATGTTAATCATTATGATAATTTCTGTAGTTAAGCTAGAAACAGCTTGCTTTTATGATTTAAGAAATTTAAATAAAAACCCTATCCTTTCTGCTAAATAGCAGGCCATCATTAATTATTGAAATCAACAGCCTTAACTGTGAATCTGTCAGTAAAAACTGGAAAGAGAAAAGACACTATATAACCACTCAAAATCCTCTTAAATTTAAAACTGAAGAATGAATCCCCAAGGGAGGTAAGCATTAAAGTGTTATTCCCTGATCAGAACAAACGGGGAAGACGTTATGACAACACTCACTTTTCAAGGCCGTTCCTTACAACAACAAAACACAACACAAGAGTCCTGTAGATATAATGTATACAAAAGCAGAATTTAAATTCTACAATCTTTCTGGGTCTTAAATAAGCATATGTGCTTCTATCTACACACACACTAAAATACTGGAAATAGCACTGCTCACCTTGAATAAGCATAATCGAAAAACAAACCTATGATATTATTTATTCTTTACTCCCACCCACTCTAGATTTAAATTTGCCTATTTGCCTCTTTAAACGGCTTGTATTAATAAAAACATAATTTACACTTAGTGATTACCACAACAACAATCACAGTTATCTTGCCAACAACAGCACACTAGACAACAAAACCCCACCTGTTTTATGAAAACTTCTAAGTGACATTTTGAATATAGCAAATTGCAATATTCCTATTTCATATACAGCTTCACAAACAAAATTAAGACACTTTGTGATCATCACAATGCTGTTATTAGAAACACACTTTTTTTCCTAACAGGCTCTTGCTTATAAGGAAACGAGGTTTTTGAAAGAATGGAAAGAAGCTGTATCCCACACTCGGCCTTTGAACGTCCAGATTGTGCGTGGAAATGACTAACTTACTAGGCAACACACAAGCACCGTGCACTTGCCAACAAAACACGCTCATTTCTGGCATGTTCTTCTAGGGCAGAAGGCCTAACAGAAATGTGGTCAGCTTCTACCCTCATACTTAATACCCAAACAAGCAAGACTATTCTAGCACTAAGACTGAGGTCCAGGTGCAATGAGAAGAAAATACACATCAGAACACAGAACTCTTACTAACTAGCAGGCCTTGACGAGGGGTTGGGTAGGGTCTCCCCCACTCCACAGAAAGTCTATGGCAGGTTGCTGGGGAACCTCAAATAAAGCACTAGAACCTTCTACCTGTTCTCTAAGAGGCTCCTCACGCCAGGCAGCTCTTCCTTAGGGTCTCAACTTAAACAGAGGGTTCATTCAACTGCTGTTTGAACTTCCTACCCAAAGAAATTATTTTGCTTTTTCACAAAACACAGGGACACAGAAAATTTTGAAATCAACATGTTATTCCTTTTGCTTAAATCATCAACCTCATACCTAAATTTAGAGCCCAATTTTAACTGTGTAGTAATATATGGTCTGCATGGATGTCTGCAGAGCCTCCCTGGTACATCGTCTGGCTTACCAACATATTCTTCAAACTTGAGCTTTCTAAAATGTTTTAATTTACTATAACGTATGAATATATAAGCAAATGCAAATCCTTGTAGCATAAAGCAAAGCATAAATATATAATGAAAAAAATAAGCAAATAAAGAGCTGTCAGGCAGCTGCAATGAACTTCCCTTCCTCCAATCTTCTATTTTTTGAAATATCATTCTCAACTTTAAAAGAAAGTGAGGCAGAGAGAAAATATAAAAATAGTCTCAAAAATTTTATTTTCTATTTAGAGATGAAATGATACACCTGAGAATTGTTTCAAAGTACCAGCAGAGCTAATGTTTGGGGGGGAAGGGGGTTGTGAGACAAAAGAGTCATCGCTGAAGCTGGCTGATGAGTTTCTGGGGTTCGTTACACTCTTCTCTCTATGTCTGTATATTCTTGACCTTCTCCATGATGAAAAATAAACACTCTTTTCATTTCTCAAGTCAGCATTCTGCCCTCTGGTGGATGAGAATATGTCCTATCACACTCATGCACTTTAACTCCAGGCCTAAAGTCTTGAGACGATCCGGACAACTGGGCAGCGGAAGCCGCGTGGAGGGAAGGGTCGCCACGCGCCCAGTGCCCCAGAGCCAAGTACTGGACCCCACTGCTGAGTGCTCCTGGCTGCTTGGAGACCTCCACTAGGGACCAACACTCAAAAACATGTGATAAGGGCCCTGCTGTAGGAGTGCTGCTGAGGAGGAACCCATCACTTCCCTTCCTTAGGGGACATTCCTCTCTGACAGGCAGCAGGACAAGCGAGCGCATCTGGACCGAGGCTGGACTGACCCGGTTCCCTCTAGCCCCACAGTCATGGGCTGAGACCAGGCTGCCAGCCAGCTCAGAGCAAACACGCTGTCCCTCTCCGCAGCTCCACGAGGCGTGTGCACACCTGCAGCCAGGCCAGCTCCACCTCACTCTCCTTCACCTGACTCCTCACCACCCCGCCCTCTTGCTGGGGGGCTGCCCCAGCCACTCTACCTACAGAGCAGGACCTGCCGGCCCGCAGCAGCAGCACCCCACCCCCAGCCCCATCTCTCCCTAGCACTTGCCACCACCTGGCACGCCACGTGCCCACTCGTGTGTCTGTGGGCTGTCTGTCCCACGGCCCCACCCCCACGAAGGCAGGAAGTTTTTGTCACTGTTAAATCGTCAGCACCTAAAAGAATGCCTGGCAGGTAGCAAGCACTCAAATATTTGGCAAATACGTGAATCCCTTTATTGTTTCTCCTGTTTTTTTGGATACATCTCTCACAGCATTCAAGATCCTTCCTGAAATGAAAGTATATTTGAAGTAAACCTTTCTGAAAAACATCATGGCAATATTATCAAAAATCTTTTGAAGTCCAGCCTTTGAAAAAGATTTTTCTTAAAGGGGACTAGGATTTATACACAAAGATCGATGCAGTGTAATTTGTAATTTGACAGCAGATGGTCCAGACAATGAGAAGAGGAAATAACCACGCTGTCGTCACCTGCTGTGTATGTGAGCTAACCTCCCCAGCATGGGTTCCTCATCTGTAAAATGGGCGCAAAATGGAGGACCGACCGCCTGGGCCTGCGTGAGGATGACAGTGAGTTCAGACAGAGAGAGCTCTTGGAAAGAGCACACGGCACTCAGGGGGTCACCATCATTACCAGACTCGGTGCACGGCTGTCACGTGCAACTCGACGGAACGTAATTCAACCACTAACAACATTTACAAGTAAGTGTTAAAGGCTTTGGAAAATGCCAAGGATGAGATGCCAATGAACAAAACCCAGAGTCAAAATTCTATATATAACATGGTCACAAGTGTAATTTCTGAAAGTGTATATATTTATATCCTTAAATAAAAAATAGTGATTATCTCTGGGTAGGGGTATTAAGAAAAATGAGAATGGGCCATTTCAAGGAAATGTGAAGGGTAAAAAAATATACATATGTGAGAAATCGCCTGGGACCACATGGTCCACTCTACCCCTCACCTCCTGCATATCAGAGTCAGGAGGTGACGTGGCCAGGTGGGCATCTCAACTCTGTGCTGAGCACCTAGCTACGCCCCTCTCACCCCTGAGGATAACACTCCAGGAGGGCTCTCCAGGAAGCACTCTTGGAGTTTCAAGGTGGGGCTGAGTCCCTCCTCCAAGTCCCTTGGCCCCTAAATCTCCTCTGTATCAGCCCCAACACAGCACTCTATTTCACGACTCATCTGTGTGGGCCCCATGATGTGTGCTCCTTAAAGGCACCCACAGTGCCCCCATCACTGGCTGGGAATGGCAGGGTGGGCAGCCACTGCTAAGTGGATGTCTGAACAAGTAGCCTGTCACAGGCATCAGAGAAGATGCAGAGAAGCTTGAGGGTCTGTCTTCTGCCCCCAAAGCAGCACCCGAGCACCCACACAAGATGCAAACCGCCTGCGGCAGACCCAGGGGAGGAAACAGCACCTCCAGCTCCAGAGGTCAGCAGCCGTCCTTCAACTGAACCAGAAGGCTTTGGCAAGCCTACAGGGTCACCCTGTCTTTACACCTCAGAGCACTTAGACTAACATGAATTGTTACGGCTAACATTTCTGATTGGCGTACACACAGAAACATACCCACGGAAACAACCGCCACCAGGGAAACCACGCTGAGATCAAACGAACAAAGCAAGCCAGTACCTCCAAGCGAGTCTGTGGTCCATACAGATCCCAGATTTTTCTTCTTCGGACATCAATCCCTCTGCCTGGATGCTAAAATGATAAATTTCAGAAATCAAAGGTTACGTTCAGCACATCATAACAAATTAGCGAGAACCAGTTACACTCTGCAGGTATTGCCCGCAGTGTGAAGTGCAAGGACCCTCAGCATTCACGGATGGTGCCAGCACAGCTTCTCAGCTATCTAGACACTCACGCTCCTACAAGGCGCAGATAAGAACCCGTGCTGCACTAGTGGTTGCTGTGAGTCTGCAGGAAGGGGAAGCGGAGTCAAGCTGGGAACAGCCCTGGGGCTGGAGCCCCAGGAAGCACACCTGGGAAGGGGGCCGGCCCTCCTGGCGCTCAATCAAGCTCAGGTGTGGGGCACGTCCGCCCTTCCAGCCTGCCAAGCGAGACCCGACTTGTCCCGTGAGGGCACGCCTTACCCAGTGCACCGTGACAGCATGTCAGCTTTCACAGGCAACCGCACTGACTGCACAAGGCACCCCTCCCCAGCCCCACCATGGCTACCTACCAGCCTCCAGGTCACCACCCGATGTGCTAACACTCCACAGCCAACCTGTTTACAGGTATTGCAGTTACAGGCTCGTTCTTTCATAAAGCAATTCAACAAGTACATTTCAACAACTCCATTCCAACTTCCCAGCTGAAGACAAATATGTCGATCCCATAAGGGAGAAAGCTATGGTCAGAAGAAAATCAGCCTGGGGTCACCACGACTGGGCTTCAAATCCCAGCAGTCACCCTCAAGCGTGAAGTTGCTGAGCTCCAGTCAGTTTGCTCAGCCCGGTGAGGGGGTAACAGCACCTAACGTACTGGATTTGCCGGGAAGGCTGAGACGATGGCGGAAAGCTCCAGGCACGCCAGGGACACCATGGCTTACATTTACTGTACTGCCCTGAGGGCCCAGGTGCTGTTTAAGCTCTTACTGCCTCTACTTGACCGATCCAGAAAACGGCTGCAAAAACTAGCATCACCGTTTTACACTGTGGCATATGTGTATGGGACTGTCCTCCGAGCTAGAATTTAAGCTTCTTGAGGGCAAACCCACCCTGCCCTTTATTCCCCCTGCAGTGCCTTGAAATGGTGGGTTTCCCAAACAAAATTATTTGACAGCAAAAACCCACGTGCTTTTGAAAGTCTGGTTTTACAGGTACACATCACGTGTCCCCGAGAACCCCTCTTCTAGTCTAATGAGATCGCTGTCTTTCCTTCCTGTTTTACAAGCTGCCCGTTCTACAGAGCAACAGAGCCTATAATCAGTCACTATTCCAACAGCCAGGCTGACCCTGAACCCAGGTCACACCAGCAGAAAAAGATCTCAATGAACCTTGCACTGGCCTTGAAGACACTCTAGAGAAGATACTAGGAATGGCCATGAACCATGCTTTACCCCCTCACTGCTCAGTATATGGACCAGGAGACCATTTCCACATCCTAAGTCAACAAAGGACTGCTTAGCTGTCACACCCCGCTCAGCTCTTTCTTCTTCCCATAGAATCTAAGTAAACAGAAAAAAACAAAACAAAGTCAGTTTGTAATTCACTCTATCCCAGAATAATTCAGATACAAACCCCACACGAGACTACAAATCACACTCCCAAACAGGTGGAGAGGCCTCATCTGAGGCCCTGGGCTTCCATGCAGATGACACATAGGTAAGCAGAGGGTGGTTAGACTCGGCCCACTGCTCTTGTCTGATGCTGCACGGAGCAGCAAAGCTGTCTTCTTCCATCAAGAGTCCACATTAAAGTGGTCATCTCTGGGCAAGAGCTTTACAGGTTATTGTTAGTTTCTTCTTGCTTTCTCTATATTCTTCAAGTTTTATACACTTTGATAATCAAAATATGCTATTTCTAAAAAGACAAGAGAATTGCAATTGAAAGGAAATTGGAAATTATCTAGTCTAAACATTTTATAGATAAGAAAAATGAAGACTACTGAGTTAAAGGGCATGTCCAAATTTAGGTGGCTAGCAAGCTAGCTAAGGAAAGATCTAAAACTAGATATACCAAATGCTAGGAATGGAAGGCATGTGCTAATCAGATGCACTCCCAGTTGCCAGCCAGTGTCTCCATGTTGACCATTAATTATGAAAGAACTGGTTTAGTTGAATTCCTGCCGTTAATTTCACAATTCAAACTCGTTCTACACTCATGCAAAAGCACCATGCAAAGTTAAAAAACCATTACATGTGTAACAACCTTGGCAAAGAGAACTATCAAGACCGTAGTGATGAATTTGGTCAATGTCGCTCACTAGCAGTAGCATCTGCCGGCAGCAACCTCCCCCCACTCCACACAAGCTCAGATTATACACATTCTCACCAGCAGGTAGGCCGCAATAGCCACATCTTCATACACAAACTTCTCAGGATCAGTTACTTCAGGCCACACCTAAAACATTTTCAAGAGCATTCGTAAATTACTCTCCATCTCCCCACCATTTCACGACACTTCAAGTACCCCCATAGGGCGTAAGTCAATCTGGACTAACCATGTAATAAAATAACAAAAATGAGCTTGTTCCAAAGGCAGAAATTCATGACCAGTCTCCTACAATAAAAGATGTGCATAAAGACACACAAACCTTTCCCATATCTATGAGTAACAGGACGCGTCAACAGCAACGCAGTCCACAGTAAGATTTTGCAATAAAGACAAGGTACGTAAGATATTTAGATGAGGCAACTAGACATCAGAGAAAATGCTCAGCTCTGTCTTCCTATCTTCAGCTCTTCCTAACTTCATGGTTTACCTAGAGGAAGCTAATGAACAAGGACACGTGCGCGGTGGGGGGACAGGGGTCAGGAGGCCAGCACTCTAGCCTCCAGTCTGTCAGTGACTAGCTGTCACTCATCAGGAGAGTTGCTCAGCTATTGTGTCCATCTCCCTGTTTGCAAAGCAGGGATAAAGCCGTAACCACCAGGCAGGATGACCATCAAGGTGCTTTGAGAACTGTACAACACTGGCTACACAAGTGTGAGGTCTCATTATTAAAATCAGTCACGTGCAGGAGAGGAAAAACTGGTGGCCAAGGCCAAAGGTTCCATCTCTGTTTCCAGTTACGGTGGATTAGACAGTTCAGACTGAGGACAATTTTAACAGCTGGGAGAATGTACAAGCCCCTCCCTGAAGGTACTATGCAGTTAATAGGATAACAAAGGAACATAAGGCCAGGATCTGGGAGAGAAGGGGAGCCAGCCTCGGTCAACTGACCCAGGACCTACACACTCTTCAGCAAGGATGAATGTTACTACTTCAAGCCTGTGACTTTGGGGTGCTTTGTTATACAGCAAGAGGTAACTAACAAAAAAACACGTGGAAAGGATGAATCGTGGTTACTTCTAGGAGGAGGGAGGGAGACGTGAACTAGGAAGAATACAAAGCAGGTTCCACTATACTAGTAAGGCTTTACTTCTTTATTTTTTTTTCTGTGAGGAAGATCAGCCCTTCCTTCTCTTTTTTTTTGCTGAGGAAGATGGGCCCTGAGTTAACATCTATTGCCAATCCTCCTCTTTTTTTTTTCTTTTCCCTTTTTCTCCCCAGAGCCCCAGCACATAGTTGTATGTCGTAGTTGCACATCCTTCTAGTTGCTGTATGTGGGACGCGGCCTCAGCATGGCTGGAGAAGCCGTGCGTCTGTGCGCGTCTGGGATCCGAACCCGGGCTGCCAGCAGCGGAGTGCACGCACTTAAACGCTAAGCCATGGGGCCGGCCCCTGGTTTTATTTCTTAAGCTAGTTGTGAACCCACAGATGTCTGTTACCTTCTTCTTACATCTTAGATATAAAGTTAAGGACATGTTATGAAATTTATCTCCTTTCTGGAAGTATATTCTTCTGTACTTTAATTTAGCATATATTTTTTTAAAATATCTTTAAGTTTATGCTAAAGAATTATGTTAATTTAATAATTAAATGTTCAATTATTTTAAAATTAAATTAAACATTTCCCTTTTGTTCTCTTGGGGAAAAAAAAAGAGTAAGGTGCAAAAAAAAAAGTATCAATCCTTTTCCATAACACATCTGCCAATGCTTCTGTGGTTTGCATCCCTAAGTATGTCAAAGTACAGCCTGCAACAGGGGACCTTACGTGGGTATATTAAGACTTAAGTCTCCAATCTGTATAGAACTAGCAGGTGCACAGGAAAAACAATTTTTACCTGGCGTAGTCTGGTCATACTACCTCATTTAAGTGAGGGGGAGTCACACACGTTTTTCCCCAGAATTACCTTGACCATGTCTTTATACTTCTCCTTAAGCTCCTGGTAGGTCCTGCTGTACTTCAGAACGGAAATGAGGGACAGCGTGCTCTTAAATCCACTCTTCCTGCTCTCCACGGACCACCTGGCCAACCTAGCCAGCAACTCCTCCCCAAGCCAGGTGGGTTTGGGATAAACAATTCCATCTGAATGCCATCTTTCTGGACAGAAAATTAAAATAGATATGAACCTTTGAAAATAAGAGAAATATGAATAAGTAGAGCTGACTTCAATTCTGATTTTTAAATTATATGTTTATTTACCAGAAAAAGAGAGAAGACAAGACAGCTACACTTACAAAATATTTTACCCAAAACACAAAATAATCTGGCACTAGTTACAGAATTTTCATCTAATAGAGAAAAACACATTTAAAAAGCAGAAAGAATTCCTCTTCTCTTGCAAAAATTGTTATAAAAATGCATTTACACAACCTACGAAGCCCATCAGGATGGACAAATAAATTCCTCTTACCTTCTGCTTCATGCACTAATTAGCCAGATTCTAAAATGTCTACGGATTTTCCTAACACTTCTATTTTGTATATATTTTCACATGTGCAACTCAAATGTGAGTATACTGGTTCACCAAATATTTACTGGCCAGAAAGTTGAGCACTCAGTCACAGAGCTATGGATACGCACGCCGTCCCTGCAGTTTACAGGTTCATTTTGCCTACTGTCGACTGCCTGTCTTCCGCCATGAGAAGGCAGTGAGGCCGCAGCTCGTCTGTTGTGTTCACTGCTCTGCCCCAACTCCTAACAGCGCCTGATCCAGGGCAGGCGCTCACTATCTACGTGGTGAGTAAGTGGATGAAAACTCACAACCCGTGGGCCCAGATCATGACAACACACTCTCCGCGGCTGCAATTCGGGCAGCACGACGAAGGGGAAGAAGCATCAAGTTTGCCGGGCCACAAAAAAGGAGGTGGCGTTCAACGGGGGCCCCAGGAACAAGCGGCAGCACAGGCGGCTGGATGAGAGGGGCAGGGCTGGAGACAGGCGGGGACAGGGCAACTGGTCAGTCAGTCTGGCGAGAGCTATGACGTCAGGCTTTCTGCCACCACGTGCATCAGGGGGACAGAACTCACTCCCACAAGTCACGGCACTTCTCCCCACCCCTCACCCGGAAGCTCTCCTCTGGGGCTAAGGCACCTCGGCGGCCCTTCTCCTGCTCTTCCTGGGCCTCTCGCTCTTTCCGCAGGTGTCCCCCAGCGGTCACACGGCCTACTCCCTCATCTTCTCAGACCTCTCTTCGAGGTCCCCTCCTCAGAGGCCTTCCCCACCCATCCTACTGGACACAACACTGCCTTTGCTGAAGAGAGACATGGCAACAGAGAGCCGCTTTCTCTTTCCCTTCTCTTCAGGGCACTTAGCACTAGCTGGCATGAGAGCGCATAGGCGTCTGTCTCCCCCACGAGACTGGCACCACTGCATGCCCGGGTGGGCACAGAACAAGCACTGCTGAAACCACAGAGGAGGGCTGCGCTCCACAACAGCCGCCCTGTAACAGCCATTTAACCCATGCTCCGCTTAAAGGACAACACATCTGACCCCAAGGTGTGACCACTTCCCAAAGGAATGTGAGGGACAGCTGCCCAGAGGGGCAAGGACAGGAAACGCCAACCTGGAAAGATGGGGAGCAGCCAGCCAAGTCCTCAGTAACTCGTCACAGAACAGGGAATGTGATTCCAACACATGGAATGTGCTGAGTGCCGGCCACGGCCAGGCCCCGTGCCAGTGGCTTCACAACATACTAAGCAGACAGACACGGCCTTCAGTGCTCACCTGCAGCTCCAGGAATAGCCCCACCGAGGTGCCCACTGCAGGCAAACACGGCTCTCCCCACGGGGTCTGCTCTCACTCCCCGCACACCAAGAGGGAAGGGCCTTGGGCAAGGCACCTCTTGACAATTCACCCAGGGAGACCCCAAGTATTCCCACCAAGCTTCTAATCCTACAACGGGTCCCTGTGAAGCCCAGCCCAGACCCCTCCTCAGAGGCTCAGTAATTATTAAACCCATTTCACAGAGAGAAGACTGAGGGTCATGAAGGCACCGTACCCAAGATCACACTGCTGGTTAGGAAACCCAGGTCCAGCTGACTCCAAAACCAAGCTCTTCCCACTGTGCCCTCTGCTTTCTACGAAACCACAGGCAAAGTTCATTCCACGTCAACAGACACGATCCCCACAGTTGTTCTACAAACTACAGACCAACTGTGGCTCTCAGGAAAACATCAGCAGGAGAGTAATGAGTGAATTTACCCTCCCTCTGACTTTTTTATTTAAAAGATACCAAATGGAAGTAAACCAAATTCCACACTTTCCATTGAGGCCCAAACACCATATGGAACTAAGGGAGCTTACTAAACAGCTACTGTTATAATAAGCATCACTGAACACCCACTATGTCTAAAACCACATGAGCCTCCAGGAAATAAAAAAAGAAGCATCACTTACTCCCTTAACCAAGTTGTAAGAAATAACAAAAAATAAAGAGATTTCATGTTTTTTGCATTTGATGCTAAAACTAGCTGCTACTAACCTTGAAGGCCACATGGAATGCAGAGACTCCAGACCCCGGCCAGGCTGCGACCATCCAGACGCAGGCCAGGCCCCAGAGGAACAAAGACGTGTCATGGCAACGCCAACAGAAAGCACATTCCCACACACCCTAACCGCCTGAGAGGGCGTCCCTTTAGCTCTTCAGTGACCCAGAATCCTGCAGCTACCTAAAGAAATAATCAACTGCAACCATAAAACACTGAAAGAGGAATCAGTTTCCTACTTCTTACCATTCTCCTTTGCAACGACTGAGCTGAACTTGATACACATTGCTCATCTTGACCTTTAAATTCCCTTCATCATCTTCTTCCAAAGGCAAAAAAGTTACAGTTCCATTGAGAACATCTGGGGAAAAAAAGATAAGGATGATAAATTAAAACTGCTCAGTTCAGTGTCTTATCACAAGCAGTCTTAAAACTAGTAATGAACCAGTTCTGGTGCCTTCCATGTCCCAAAGCTTCCCCCAGCTATTGACAGCAGTGCCCAGGGGACAGACATGTTTTTCTGTCCTACTCACTGCGGCATCCCCGCGCCTACTCCATGCCAGGCACGCAGTAGCAACGCTCAACAGGAGCTGAACTAGGAAGCAGTCCTAAAAACAGCACTCTCTGCTAAGAGGAGTGCTGCTCACTGAGAGAGGGAAGGCTGAGCTCTGCCTCCCCTTCAGTGAAGCCATCTGAGAATGCCATGTCTACACCTGCAGGCCACAGGGGCACCGAGCCACTAATTCTCCGGGTCTAGGGGAGGGGAAACGTAAAACATGGTCATGACATAGCGGCTAAAGGCTGGAAGGGCTCCTAAACTAGTCTGGGCACAGCAGGGTCAGAGAGCATCCTGGAGGAAGGACACCTTGGAAGTCCTGCAGGGGCAGAGGCAGACAGTATTGGGGGGGCGGGGGGCAGGGAGCGGGAGGGTATGCACCTACCAGCAATTTCACTTTGCTGCTTGTGGTAGACAGAACAGCCTCCCCAAGGTGCCCACGCCCTAATATGCAAAACCTGTGACTGTGCTGTGTTACGTGGCAAAAAGGGACTTTGCAAACGTGATTAAGGAACAGACTGGAGAAGAGGAAGAGTATGCTGGATTATGCTGGTGGGCTCAACCTAGTCACACGAGCCCTGAAAAGCTGAGATCTTTCTCCAGCTGGGGGCAGAAGAGGTGTAGCCGTAAGGGAAGTCAGGAAGATTCCAAGCATCAGAAGAACTGGCAGGGCTGCGGGCTCTGAGATGCAAGGAGCCATGTTCAAGCACTGAAGGGAGGCCTGTACGGGGTCCTCCAGGAGCGGGCCTTTCCACTTACCTCTTCACCTGCTACACTAGTATTTTATCACTGAACACCCAGCATTCCTTCACCTTCTCCCTCAGGCCTTCCAGACACCGCCCCCATCAATGACCCCATGCTCTGTACTAAGGACACACATTTCCACATGCCCCTCAAAAAAACAATCAAAAATCTACAACCTCTCTAGGACACCACAAAGGAACTGACATAGTGGTACCTGTAGTGCCTTTTCAATGACCTGAGGTTCCACGAATGCTTTTTAATCTAACTGCATTCTCTGCCAGATTCTCTTCTTGTCCCAACTCTAGCCATGCTCCTCTGAGCCCTGTTTCAACTAGGCTTCAACTTTGGCCTATAAAAACCTGAACAAATACTAACATAGCTCCTAACAGCACACGGCCACATCCCTAGGATGACCCTAGGTCCCCTTAAAGTGCCTGCCTGAGAAAATTCAACTGACAAAAGAATTGACTGTCCCAGCCCACACCTGAAGATGAGGCCCTGTCTCCCGGCCTCTGCGGGAGGGAGGAGCCTTACTTCATAAGCACCAGTTAGCCAACCCAGACGGGTGTCACAAGGACCAACCAACCCCCGCTTTCTGCCTTTTGTTAATTTTTTCACTTCCCTGACTCCATGGAGCCCACTCACTCCCTAATCTTTCACTCTCCCTTGAAAACGCCCGGTCACCTCTGCACAACTCAGAGCGGAGTTCAGTTGACACTGGACTCCTCTGCCCACCGCAACAGTGTATTACTAATTAAAATCTATCCCTGCCGCTTTCACTAGAGTCCGGCCACCTCCCACTAACAGACACACTGCTACCTTGCACGACCATTTCTCTCCGCGGAGCCAGAAGCGGCTGGCGCGGGCTCGTTTTCGGGATGACGGTTCTGAGCACCAGGTCCAGCTCGTGCTGCGGCCCCGGCCGCGCCCCCGGCCGGGAGCCGGCGAGGAAGGCCGGCATCTCCGGACCGCCGCCGGCGAGGCTCCGGGAGAAGGCGGCCCAGAGGGCGTCCAGCGCC